TAGACGTTAAACTGTTCTTCTGCCAGATGTGCCCCCAGCCTGCTGCTGTGTGCTCCAATAAATAACCAGATGTTACAGAACTGATCTTGATGTAAAAGCTTCTAAAAGGCAGCTAGCTTTAACTGCTATTAAATGTCTGAAGACCTCTGGTCTTGGCTCAAAGCGGCGTGTAGCTCAGAGGGGTCCAGGCCCGGTCCTCGAGCGCCACCGTCCTGCATGTTTCACGTGCTTCTCTCTCCGACTCGCCTGATTTGAGTCCATGAATGTTCAGCAGAGCATGAAGACGTAACTGAACCATCGAATCAGCTGTGAGGGAGCAGAGAAACGTGCAGGGTAGTGGCCCTCGAGGACCAGGTCTGGACACCCCTGCTTCATCGCAGCAGTTTGGTGGGCGAGGTCGTTCAAGGAGCTAACACACTGAAGCCCACTTCACAGCATCTGATGCTGCTTTAAAGTGATAGTCTGGTGATTCGTGCAGTGATGTTCTGTCAAATTGTCCCTTATCAGCCATTCCATCAGTCGAACAACACGCAGTAAGATGAAAAGGACAAAAGTCTTTGCTGGATAAAAAATATTCTTTCATCTATTTGCAATAAAGGAGCCACACGAAGACGGGAGGAGATTTTCACTTGCAAGGGCAGTCGGTCACGAAAAGGTTCACACGGATGTTTCCAAGTTGCGTGCTCAGAACGCCGTGATGAGAATCTGCAACCGGCAGTGAGCAGGAAGTGTTTTTTATAACGCACGCTTATCAGCTCCTCCTGCAGACTCGGACACGACCTGGGAGCACCGGCTGCACATGCAGTATGAAAGCAGCTCCGTCTGCTAACACCTGGTTCAACATTCATTTCACATTAGCAGTGACGAACAGCCTGAAACCTCAAGTCCCTTCACAGCCTTAATACAAGCTAGGCTAATGGCTAGTCTAAATGAAGGCCTGTTGTGTTTTTAAAACAACTCTTTTGCAAAAAGACCATAAAAACAAAAAAGAATGCCACAAGTTTTACACTTCTGCACTTTTGCATGACACAGTGTGAGTAGTTTGTTACATCCTGCTACGTTACTGTTCGTGTCAGGTCATTTGTGCAGAGGCTGCTCCGGTTTCGTATTTAACAGAACATCTCTTGAAAACTCACCAGAGTATCACTTTCAGGGCCGCATGCGTCTCCATTTAGGGTAAACTCGTATGAAAAGGAGAAACGAACGTACCGCATGGTCGAAGGCCACGCAGTTGATGACCATGAAGCTCCTCAGGTTGTACTTGTACGGCGTGTAGTTTCCATGCCAGGCAACCACGTTAAACGGAGAGAAATCCTACGTGCAAAACACAAAACAAAATAAATAAGAAAAGTCTGCGCGAGCAGCAAACACAAAAGGCTTTAAATTGAGCTTTTCACCATGAAAAAGGAACAATGAATAATGCCTTTGTAATCTTAAATTCCAAGAAAGTACTTCTTGACATAAAAAGAGAAGAAAAAAATGGTGGTAATGAAAATTGTAAGAGGGTGTGCTTCTTTCAATCTTTTTCTTCTCTTTCATCCCCCCTGTTCTTTGTGATACGAGGCTCCAGGTATTATGGGGTAATTGGCTTCACAATCAAACTTTCCCAAACTTTGAGCGTTTTGACGCTGGCGGCTGTGCAGTTATGGGGCTGGGGGGGGGCTGCAGAAAAGCGTGGGTGCAGAGATATTCCTTTATCTTGATTGTTAAAACTGCAGCAATTTTATATAGTTTCTCTGTTCTGATAATGTCGCTGCGAAAAAGACATTCAACAGCAGCTCTAAAATCAATATAGTTCATTACAACTCAAACTGCCTCCACGCTGACCTCACTGCTCCCACACACACACACACACACACACACTGCAGAACATGCACACACACCAAAGCTGCTACTACATATACATACAAAGAAGAAGTCGGTGTCGTGTAAGGAGCACCAGAAGCAGCTTAACTTCACACTCGTCAGCAGTTACTGCACAAAAGGCTCTTTGGGAGACTCGGCGCAGGTAATTTCTTGGACATTCATCGGTGATAACTTCACTACATTCGATTAAAACGACGGAGGAAGGGGCAAAAACGGGGGAGAGCAACGACTCGCACACACGTGCACGCAGAACACAAACATATTGGCCCAGCCAAGCAAATAATAAGTTAATTTGAGCAATTTTCGCACTCTGCGGGGGAACAAAACAGCAGGAACAGCAGCGTCTTCCCTGAGACGAGGCCTCACTGCCCCCCCCCCCCCCCCCCCACCACCACCTTGTTTCCTTGCCTCGAGGAAAAGGTGGAAACCAGGATCAGAGCGCCACTTTTCATGTCCAGAGCATAAAACTCAACAAGAGGCAGCTTGTCAAATAAAAAGCTGAAAGTTGGTTTCCTGTAAGAAAAGGCAGCAGATCGTTTCCTTATAACTGTTTGTTTTTTTATTAATAACATTTTGATCACAATAATTTAATAAGTTTTTTGTTTTCTGTACATTTTTTGCTTTGCTTAAATCAAAACGTTCAGCTCATTCATTCGGTGGGTGCTTTTGTACTTTTATATTTTTCAAATTATTTAACTTTGTTCACAAAAATTGTATCCACAGAAATACATGAAATGGCTACAATCCCTTTAAAAATGTTCCCTGAACTTTGCTTCTGTGGTCATGTGATTTATTCAAACGTGCTCTACTTTTGTCTAATTATGCCCTTTTTAGCTATTAGCTACTATTTCGGCTACATTTACCTAACCTTTTGCTGCTTTCAACATCTAGCTTCTTGATACTATAGCTTTTAGCTAAGTTATGTTTAGCTTTCTGTTCAGCTCTTTCTACTATTTTAAAACTGCCCTTAGCAAAAAGTATTTTATTAAGTGTACTACAAATATACTTACTTTACACTAAAAATGAGGAAGTGTACTTGAAGTTTACTTTTTATAAACTTTATTTGATACACGTAAAAATAGTATAAAATGTCCCAATTTAGTCCAAACAAGTATTAAATCAGTATACTTTCTAGTACACTACAAGTATGGTGTGTAGTATACT